GGGGGGGGGGGGGGGAAATGGTGCATGTACCTCCCACCTAAGGGAGATGAGTCTTTTTTCCAGCCTCGCACTCTATAAGGAGTCATAAACGATTGAAATGGGTTCATCGAGGTGTTTACTAGGGATGGCCGATGTTTTTCTCATTACACAGAAAAAAATTTTTTTTTTCTAAATAATTGTTTTTTCTCATCGTTTTTATTGAAAAATCTATATTTAAATAATACAACCCGAGGAACTTACGTTTGAATGATAAATACTACTGGAGAGTTAAATTTTTAATTAAAAAATATATATTAAATATTTTTCGTAGCTGGACGTTAACTCCAATGATTGTTAAAAATTTTAATTGAAAAAAAAATTTAAGTATTAAAAAAAAACAATAGACGACTGGACTTGTTCACTTATCATTTATAACATACATAATGTAGAAAATAATGACTTCTCATTGCGGATAAATTATTATTTTGTTTATTCTCAATCAATCAATATTATAATTCGACAAAAACAAATAAAAATTGTTAGCTTGGTCAGAAACATCGATGTTTGGAAAAAAGAATCGAAAATCGATTAATCGGCCGTTGAAAACATCGAATGAAAAACATCGATGTTGGGGCATGAAAAATCGATGTTTTCGATTAATCGACAAACATCGCCCACCCCCAGTGTTTACTCGAAGATGTAAAGAGGACAGATTTTTTAATAACATTAAACATATTTAATTATGTTATTCAATTGCCATCGGCCAGCGAGCGATGGAACCGAACTTTAAGGGTAATAATGCCCGGCATGCGGTCAATACCGCCCCCCTTCTTTAGATGACTTTTTTTAACAATGCAGACCATCTGTAATAATTTTTCCTCTTTTCGTCCTTCGTTTCCACCCACTCTTTGGCTCTGTTTTGAGAAATATTTCACGTGACTAATAATAAATTCTCCTGAATCAAACCCTGAATGAATAGCAAGTGGGAAATTGCTTTTGTTTTCATCTAGCATAGCTGTTCTTGCTAATGAACTAGCAATCGACTTCCGAATGATCATTTTTTTGTGCATATAATTTTCTCCTATCGTATATCATTTAGTTTTTCCTATTTGATCAATTGAATTATATTTTCAATTTATTAAATTGTCTTGTTTCTCGTGAAAATTCGTGCATAATAGTACATTAGAGCACTAGGGCACCAAGTTCGTTTTCGATGAATGTGAAGGTTACAGGTTCGTTGAAAATGAAGTTTGTGCCCGAGTGGTCTATAATATTTTATGTCTTGCGACCGTAAACCGCGTTTGAACCGAGCGGAGCGAGGTTAGAAACGCGGTTTATCGGTCGCCGTGACATAAATCAAATAAAAGAATGATGTTATCTTTATTACCTTGAAACATTGATAAACTGTTATTAGAAAAATGTTCTTCATACATAACCGAATGGATTTCAAACATTATACTTGAGAAAGCCATCATAAAGATCACTTTCAGGGAAATCCAGGAAAAGCTCCAAATTTGCAAAAATCATCATGAAAATCAAATCAACGGATATAGCTATCGTATTTGTTTTTCAACTTCGACAGACTAACACTGAAACTAACTTTTTAGGCTATAATTTAATTAATTTGAAGCATGATATTCCAAGATATCCCCGGAATTCTGATTTTTAAAAAATCAGCAGATTTTGCGAATTATTCTAAAATGTTCATCTTCGAACTCGGTTAAAGGGGAATCCAAACAATTTTAAGCCATCATTTCAATTAATTGAAATAGTATTCCAACAAATGGACGATGAATTAAATAAAAGGGGCAGATTTATTTATTCATGGCTCGCCGTGCAATAAGTCGAGTTTATCGCACGCTGCGCTAAGCGCTGCACGATGTGGCATAAAATAGTATAGACCACTCGGGCATAAACTTCGTTTTCAACGAATGTGAATACAGACCTCGCCTTCGGCTCGGCCTGTAAACTTCACATTTGTCGAAAACGAAATTTGTGCCCTTGTACTCTAATGTACTATTAATTAATACAGATGAAGTTCAAACTATCTATTCTAGGTTATNTTCTAACCTCGAATAAGAAACGAACACCGTGTATACATTAAATACATCAGTGCATATTTTCTATAATACACGCATTTGTTTATAATTAGTGGAATGGGAAATGATTTTTTGGTGATAAAAGTTACGAGCTGACAAGATTAAATTATAGATGATTAATGAACTTGAATGTCGAGAATGAATTGAAAAAAAAAATAGAAAATCTAAAAATATTCAATTTTAAATTTTTCATTCGATTTTGGTTATTCGATGGTTTGTTTAATGAAATCAATACTTATATGACAAAATAAAATAATATTGATTTTTTTGCCATGGACCTAATTTTTGGTGAAATTCTGAAAACGGAAGAATTCGTTATAATTCAGGAATAGTACATTACATGCCCGAGCCTTGGAAAACAGATCACCATCCTCCACGTGCACGATTGCCTTCCGAGTCGAAGGCGAGGATGGGGTTTTTCAGGTCCCGTTACACGAAAAAAATTATTCTTTGAGTGAAACATTGATTGCTATTGGATTATTTATATAAAAAATGATTGTGGTCTTCGAAAATTGTGATTTTCCAATCATTTCATTAGTGTATTTCAGAAAGTCGACTTCATTTTTTCCTAGCAATTATACTGTTGAAAAAAATTGAAATTCATGGATAGTTCAGTGGTAATTTTTAGGAGCAAGACATTTAATTTAAATTGAGAGAGGAAAGTCATGAATTTTTAAAATTGACTGAAAATTTAATGAAATTCAACATTTCTTAACAGTATGAAAATAAAAAGTTGCTTGAATTTTCATTGAAAACGTGAATATTCTGCACCCAATTTCTTACTCTGTATTTTCGATTGATAAACCAATTATAATTGTTCTAATCATTTAGGTCGGGGGCAATAGAATGATTCAACTTTCTTAATGTTGCG